AAAAAAAATGCACATTGATGACTGCAGCGAGCTGTATGGGCACAGCTGGGTACTACTTTATAGTATGTTCATTCTACTCACCGGGGTTTATGCCTAGGGTCAGACTTGGATACATGTGTAGGTTTGTGTCAGCTGTGCTAGCTAATGGATTTATTTAGGCTAATTAAGTTCATTGGCAGAACAATTGAATGGGTGGGGGAGGAAGGTATGGAGGGCAACCATGGATGCCAGGGACAATGGGGGAGGAAGATGGGACATAGCAGAGGGTGGGGGATGGGGAATCAGGGATGGCAAGACAAAGGGCAAGGTATGCAGGACGTAAGAATTGGAAAACTATTTGCTGAGAACATGTATGTGGATGTGCTTGATTGAGCCAATGCACAGTGTATTTTGGATGGAAAATTCATTTGTGTGTTGTGATGGTATAAAGTGAATTAATAAAAAAAAATAATACAAATAAGTAATTATATTTTTGGCTTTGACTTTCTAATCAACTGTGATACATGAGGTGCTCACGTATGATGTGATCCCCACAATGATGCTGTGAGGCAGGCATGGTCCTGGCCCCTTTTACAGTTAAGGAAAGCCGAGGTTCAGAGAGCTCAAGGGACTTGCCCACAGATATGCAGCTTCCCAGCAGCAGAACTGGGATTCACTTCCAGATGTGCTGGCTCCTAAGCTGTACTCCTCACTCTCCTGCTCTGCCAGGTATGGGGAGACAGAGGGTAGGTAACCTGCTTCTGGTTGGGACCCTCCACCCTACTCCTACCATTTGGAAGACAGGACTCATGAAGAACCCCCACCGTATTCCACCCACTTCCTTCAGGCTGATGTGGGGTAGGGAGGTAGCTGGGGTAGAACTTCCTCCCCCAATGCTTATGCCCACCTGTCTGCCTACAACCGTCTCAACCACCTCTACTGCTTGGGAGAGGTTTCATTATGGTCTGCTCTGCATTCTAGGCCAGGGGCTCTACTTCTTTCTCTTTCAAGGAAGTTGAGGACTCAAGCTCAGGGGCTTCCGATACCCCAAAAGAGATGTAGTCCTGATGGACTATGGTTGGCAGCTCAAACAGGGATGTCTGCTAGATAGAAAAGCCACCTGGACCAGAGCCCCGTGTTTCAGTCAGATGTCTCCCCTAGGAGTCCCAGAGCACCAGTTCCTAAAAGTGATCCCCTGAAAACCCACCCCCAAACAAAGGCTGCATGTCAAATGGCATCTGGAAAACTTCACTTGCCTTTGCCTCCTGGAGATTTACTGCCTTCCTTCTTGCTCATCAGGTTCCTGCTCTAAAGGGTCTGAGAAGTCTTTAACCCATTGTTTCCCAAACTTATCTGGCCCTGCCCCTTCCTGCAGATCCCTACCACCTTAGAATCCTCAGCCTCACCTTACCTCGACTATACTCCCCTCCCTGACTCCATCTCTGTGACTCTCCCTTGGCTCTCTCAGAGAACAGCTTAAGCCTGACCATCTGGCCCTGAGCCTACCTGCAGGAGTGGGCTTGGCCACTTTTCCCTTGACACCATGAGCAAGCCACTCTATGGGGAAGAGAGATGAGCAGGAATAAGAAGAAGCTCACAGCCAGATCCGGCGTGGAAAAAGCAGGCTAGAGCAGCGTGTACTATAGGACACTGTTTTTTTGTTGTCAAAAAGAAGAGGAGGGCTTGTTGCACACTGCAGTGGTTAAGCTCTGTGTATAGGGAGCTAGATCTTGGGCTCACATGCACACGCACCCAGAGTGAGTTTAAGCCACCCAGTCTGGGGCTCAAACTGCGGTCGACTATATGGGAGTCCAGCAACATAGCCGTTACGCCAACTGCTGGTCCCTGCTGTTTACTCTTTTAACATCACCTTCTAAGCTCTCAGCTACCCTCTCCCTCTAAAGAGAGTCAATCCTGGTTTCCTTCTCAGCTGCATTCTCTGATGCACTTGCAGGCTTTATTGCTTCAGCAGCTTCCTGAAGTTTGGTCCTTCCCACCAATGGCACGTCTGCACAGCCTCATCTGACAAGATGTGAAACAAGTCAGCCCACTTGATGCTCTCAAGAATCAGAGGACCTTCTGAGAGTGTGCATGCACACAGAGGGAGACCACACTTAAGGAGATGCCAAAAGCACCCAAACCCAGAGAGAAACATCCTTGTTCCTTCGCTGCTGGCAACCTACCCCTTCTTCAGGTTTTTCACAAATGCACTCTGGAGGGCGGCTTCCAGGAAGTAGGTGAGCTCATAGTCAACCTGGTGAGAGCCTTTCAGGTGCCTCGGTGTGCTGTTATTTGTGGTCTAGGAAGGGGAAGAGAAAGAGAGAGCTATTGTCTCAAAGTTTTGAGTCAGAGGGACCTGGCATGAGGATAAGCCCAGCCAGAAGGTCCCTATTACCATCCCATTCCCAGCTGCCTCAGGAGTATGTGTGCAATCCTCAGACAAAACTCAACCTAACACACTTTCATCTAAAGTATATCCAAAGTGCCCCCTCTCCCTCTAAACTGGATGTCTCTAAGTCTCATGTCTAACGTTATTTATTCAATAATCATAGTTGAATAAGTTCATCAACTCACTGAATCCTCAGAGCAACCCTATTGAGTAGAAACTGCCATTCCCATTTCACAGATGAGAACACTGAGGTCCAGAGAGTCCCTCTTTGTGCCCTGAGGACTGTGCATGGCATAGCAGGACTCAGGCTCCAGAGTCCACATTCTTGCCCTCTACTGTGTAAGGACTTCCCTGTCTGTCCAGCCATGCTGAGCATTCCTTCAACTGGACAGCATTCACTGCCTGAGCACATGCCAGAGAGGTGGCTTAATGCAGATCCCTGCTCTTCTAAGTATGCAAATCTCATCTCCTACCAGGCTTCACTCTCACAGGGCAGGGACTATGCCTCCTGAGTTCCACTGCTGTCCACAACCCCATCTCCCCACAGGTAAGGAAAGAGAAGGGAAAAGGAAACTTACAAAATAGCCACCACAAGCCAAAATCTATTTATGCCTAACAACGGCCTTATGGGGCTGGTTTCCTCTGCATTTTATAAATGAGGAAACAAGACCAGCAGGTGGTATAATGGCTAAGTCGCTGGATTCCCATGGTCTGGATTCCCATGGTCAACTGTGGTTTGAGTTCCGAACCTGGAGATTTGAAACTCATGCCAGATGCGTATGCATGCATGCCCAAAATCCCGAGAGGAGACTGGAGAAGGGACTGTGGTGTGGCCGTCCCCCTTGGGGGGTGATTTCTCGCTTTCTGTTTCTCTGTCTCTCTGACCAGCATATGTGCCCTATAGCAAAAATCCCTCTCTAAAAAATAAAAATAAATGAGGAAACCGAGGCTCAGAAAGTACCTAAGGTTGGGACCAGCAATTAGCGTAATGACTATGTCGCTGGACTCCCATGTAGTCGACTGTGGTTCGTGTCCTGGACCCAGTGGCTTAAACTCACGCCGGGCGTGTGTGCGTGCATGCCCAAGATCCCAAGAAGAGAATGGAGGAGAAGGGATTGCAACATGGCCATCCCCCCAGGGGGTGTTTTCTCGCTTTCTGTCTATGACTCTGTCTGCCTGGCGAGTGCACACGCCCTATAGCAAAAACCTCTTCATAAAAAAAAAAAAAGAAAAAAGAAAGTACCTAAGGTCACAAAGCTGGTGTGGACCTGGAACTCAAACTCAAGACTAGTCAGGTGGAGATTCCAGGCTATTCCTACTACTTTATCAGCTCATTCATTCCACAAACATTTGCAGTACCTTATGCCAGGTACTGACACACAAAAATGGACCATCAGAACATCCTGAGGGCTGAGATCCCTGGTTCCAGAAAAGGCCGAGGAACAATTACATTATTAATTGAACTGTAATCTAAGCCTCAGCAGTAAGAGGGTCGCCCAGCCCTACCAAGACAGTCAGTATGCCATCTCCCTCTGATCTGAGGGGGAAAAAATAAAAATCAATGAACCATCCACCTTATCTTTCAAAAATCTAAGTACATTTAAGAGAGGTTCTTAGTACTTCAGAGGTCAGGACTAGGTCTCAGGAGGGGCACAGAGTATTTCTGAAAATGCATAGGGTTCTACGGGCTACCCTTCCTCAGCCTGAGATAACCAGCTATCGGGGCCCATGTGTCTGCCCACTGGTACCAGGCATGGATTCCAGCCCTGGACACCAGTATATAGCTCATCACCTTTTCCTTTGAAAAGTTCAAAGCCTAGGCTTCCGGCTGAGTGGCAGGCTATCATTTGGATGAATATTTCCTCCAAACTACACATGGTTCAAATGTGAAGAGCTCCTAAAACACTGTTGTTCAGCAGTGATGCACATGATCTCAGTAGAGGTCAACTCAGACACATTAAGTATTCAAGTGTCCTCTGCCAGGGAACAGGCACTTGAGTTCTGTATTTGCCCCTCAGTCATTTCTCCTTTCCGCATGAAGTCCAATCACGCAGAGGGACTCTAGGGCTTTCATTGGGGCTGGAGGGGGTGGTGACTTTGCCCTCAGGGGATATTTCGCAGTATATGGAGATATTTTTGGTCATAACAATTGGGGGAGCAGGGAGTGAGGTGCTGCTGGCATCTGGTGGGTGGGGTTAGGGATACGGCTAAACATCCTGCAAAATACAGGGCAGTTCCATTATAAAGTATTATCCCATTTCAATAATAGTACTGAGGTTGAGAATCTCTGTTCTAGGAGATTGACCTGTCTTGAGTAGACTCCTCCAAAAAGACCCATCACAAAACATATTCTGGGTCAACACTTGGCATCTGCCAAAGTAGGTGTCTCCTGGGCTCCAAGTCTCTCATAAACTCCTCCTTCAGGGCACCTATCTTTTTAAAATAATTATTTAATTTTATTTATTAGTACTATTTTTTAATTTGATCAGGGTGGGGGGAGTGAGAAAGCAAGCCACCAGAAACAGGAATCAAACAGCAGTCTGCCATGTGGGAGTTCAGCACCTTCACCACCACACCACCTGCTGACCCCTGAAGTGTCTATCTTAATCTACTCTATTATGGAAGCTGCCATCTAATATCAATGACAAAGAATTCCTAAGCACCATCTCCAATATGTCCCCAAAAAAGTATTGGAGTCACACCCTCTGAGTTCAAATCCCGCCAATGTCACTTATTAATTGTATGAACTCCAGGAAGCTATTTAACTTTTCTCCAATCTTGAACTGTCTTATCTATAAAATGAGAGTACCAAAAGTACCTACATCACCCAGTTTGTGTGAAGATTAAATTATAAATAAGAGTGTGATATACTCAGATTTGTGCCTAACACAAAAGCACCCTCTCTTGTCAAATACACTGTGGTTGTCAGACCTCCTCACATTAAGCCAAGAGCCCCTCAGAAGGGGAAGGACTGAGATAGTCATTACAGAATGCTGTTAACACCTGGAATTAATCCTCTGACGACAGTTAATACAAGCCTGCCGTGGAGGAGCTGAGAGAAGAGGGCATTTGGGAACTGCCAAACCCTGTCAACCAGCTCTTTGCTGGCCTCTGAAAGGCTTGGAGAACAGTCTGAAGCTCCCACCTCTCTGGGGATCCAGCAAGGAGTCTGTGAGAGTGGAGAGGGAAGTCTAGCTGTAAGAACCAGCCCGACTCCATCCCTTTCAAGGGAAGAGTAATGAGTAATAATTTAATCTCTCAACCTCATCTATTGTTATTAAAGAGGATAAATATAATGCTTACTTCACAGGGTTGTTGTATTGAGTAAACAAGTTAATAGATACAAACAGGGTTGTCATATTTGGCCACATAGTTGAGTTTGTCAAAAGTTCCTGGTTGCTTACAGGTAGCATGGGCTCATTTATTTATTAAAAGTACTGTCTGGGATCTCTCCTCCAGTAGCCCAAGATGCCAAAGGGAAAGAAGGCCAAAGGGAAGAAGGTGGCTCTGGCCCCTGCTGTCATGAAGAAGCAGAAGGCTAAGAAGGTGGTCAATACCCTATTTGATAAAAGGCCTAAGAATTTTGGCATAGGACAAGACATCCAGCCCAAAAGGGACCTCACCTGCTTCTTCAAATGGCCCCACTACATCCGGCTGCAGCGGCAGAGGGCCATCCTTTACAAGCGACTGAAAGTGCCTCCTGCCATTAACCAGTTCACCCAGGCCCTGGACCTCCAAACAGCTACTCAGCTGCTCAATCTGGCCCACAAGTACAGGCCAGAGACAAAGCAGAAGAAGAAGCAGCGGCTGCTGGCCTGGGCTGAGAACAAGGCCGCTGGCATAGGGATGTCCCACTAAGAGGCTGCCAATCCTCTGGGCAGGGGTTAACACTGTCACCACCTTGGTGGAAAACAAGAAGGCTCAGCTGGTGGTGATTGCACATGATGTGGACCCCATCGAGCTGGTTGTCTTCCTGCCTGCCCTGTGTCAGACGATGGGGTTCCCTACTGCATTATCAAGGGGAAAGCCAGGTTGGGATGCCTGGTCCACAGGAGAACCTGTACCACTGTCACCTTCACACAGGTTAACTCGGAGAACAAAGGCGCCCTGGTTAAACTGGTGGAAGCCATCAGGACCAATTACAAGCCGCAACTGGGGAGGCAATGTCCTGGGCCCGAAATCTGGCTCGCATCGCAAAGCTCGAAAAGGCAAAGGCTAAAGAGCTTGCCACCAAACTGGGTTAAGTGTACGCTGTTGAATTTTCTGTACATTCAAGTAATAAAAAAAAACGCTCTTCTTCAGCAAAAAAAAAAAAAAAAAAAAAAAAAAAAGTAACGTCTGGTAGCAAACAGTCTCATTCTAACAGTTTGTATACTGTAATGAGTTTTCCAACCAATATAGAGTGTCTTCTGGGGGTCGGGAAAGATTCCTTTTTCTGATTTGCACCAAGGTGACCTGCTACCCTAGTGGGGGCCCTGTGGATAAAGGTGCTCAATACAGAGCATCTACCACCACAGTATCATTCCCAGCTCACCTTTTCTAATTCTTGTAGGAACACCTGAGCGATCCAGGAGGCCCTCTCAAAACAGGCGATCACTTCCTCCTCCCTCTCAGTCAGGCGGTAGCGGGAAGCGATGGAGTTGGGTAGGCGTTCCAGGGAGAGTCCTGCAAGAGGAAAAGGTACCTCAGACCTGCTCTATTCTGGTCCCCCTGACACCAGGCCCTTCCCACAGGCCCAGGGTGGACTCATTGAAAGGACACACACTCTGGAGCAGCCAGTGCGAGGTGGAGGTCTGCAGTGGGGAAGGAGGAAGCTAAAGCAATGGTGGTATTAGTGGTGGCTGAGAGCAAGCGATGGTTTGACAGAAGGCACCCAGGTTCCTCATGGGGAATCACATTGTGTCACCCTGTCCAAGTCCTGCCTATTCTTGCAGGCCAATCCCTAGGAAGCCATTCCTGACCTCTCCTTCCCAGTTGTGAGAAGAACAACATTCGTCCTTCAGGTGCTCAAGACTTTCCACATTAAATAATAGTTACCTATGGCCAGCTCTTCCCTCACACACAGGCTGAAAGCTCTAGGTCAAATGTGAGCCTTTTTGGATAGCCACAAACATAGCACAACACCCCACACTGTAAGTACGCAAATTATACAACATCTTATATGTGCCATTGCCTTGGGACCGGTTTCTACCTTGCATAAGTTGTGTGTGTCTGTTCAGGTCTTATCTGCCTTTAGTAGACACCTGCTATTTCTGCCTCTCTGACATCCACTTCCCATTTTCTATAAAGGTACCTCACTTGCCCTCTGACCTTCCCTTCCACATTCTCAGCCATGAGACATTATGAGATATCACGAGGGACTCCATGACTGGCGAGGGGTGAGCTCATGGTAGAGAGTGTGTATGAATGGATTGGGAAGGGGGGCTTTGGAGAGAGAAACACCCTCAATGAGATCTGGTCACGCAGTGATTTCTTTCCCCTAGTCTGTCAGGGTCTTGAATATGTCTGAGTATCTGACACATTTCAGGTCAGCTGGGGCAGGGACCTGATCATCACCTATGTGTCTTCCAGCACTGCAGACTAGTATGCTACAGACTGTGCGGCCAGGTTGGGCCTATTGTTCACTTTCTGAACCACTGAATGTCACCTCTATGAGCCCTTCCTGATATATCTGGTATAACCAACCATTCCTTCCCTTTGAGCCCTAATCTATCTTGTACATACTCCTGTCTCATAATTTCTTATACTTATTTATTCACATTTCCCCAGCCAGACCACAGGCTCCTTCAAGGAATCAACCTGATCATGCTCACCTTTCTACCACCTGGCACCCAGCAGGTACTAGACAAGTACTGACTGGATGAGAAAACGACAAGCCTAATCATGCCTAACAAAGCACAAAGTGCTCTGAAACTATAAGGAATTATTGTTTCTCTTGGCTAGATTTCAATGCATACAGATTTGGTGACCTTGCCTCTGCCAAGCTGAGGTGTGACAAGGTCCAAAGGTCAGGGTGCCTCAACCTGGGGAGAGGCGGGCACAGAATGGGAAGTCCTTTGCTCAACACAAAGACTCAGTTACCCGGGTCACTGAGTGTCAGTGTGCCTCCTGTCAAATGACTCACCACCAGGAGAAAAAAACTCCTCACTCCAGAAAACTGAGGGGGAGGGGGAACAGAGAAAGAAGGAAGGAGGCAGGTCATGCTGCTTACTGTCCATGCAGGCCTGACCCCTTTCCCCCAGACTTAAGGTGGGACAATCTGCAGGAAGTGGAAAGATCATGTAAACTTTTCAGGGGCCTGGTCCAGGAGACCAACTGTAGCTGGCAGGGCATGGCCAACTCCAGAAGATATAGTGTGGATTTGTTTTAACACAGCTGCCCTGTGTCTGCCAGAGGGATATGCTGGGGTTGGATGGCTTCCTACCCCACCTCTGGGCCAAGCGCTGGGCTGGCCACTGCAAAGCAGTACATTCGGGAACAATGGTCTATGGGGTCTCCACCTTCCCTGTGTTCCATTTGTTCTTTCCACTCCTAAAGGGGACTCTCCATGATGCTTCTCTGAAAATTCTAAATCCCATCCCCCTTAAGAGTTCAAAGTAAAACCACTTTCTCTCCGATGCCGTTTCAGGTGCAGTTAAACCTCCCTACCTCTGAACCAGAACATCTTAACTGCATCTCCTATGTTTGTGCCTTTTTCTACATTGTCATCATCCTTTCTGCCAATTTTTGGTTTATCTTTGCACTCAGTGATAGCCCAGGACCTTATGTTTAGGAAGTATGTGGATGAACGCACAAATGAATGGGTATATTCATGAATGCTGAGCATAGAGCCAAACAAGATTTCTTCCTCGCCATTAAAAAAAAAAAAAAAAAAAAAAAATTTTTGAAAAAAAAAAAAAAAAGGGAAAAATTCTTGCAAATAAAAAATATAAGGGAAAAAATCCAAAATGTATTTTTAATAAACTTTTTAAAAAGAATTATTTATTTAGTTTTATTTATTCTTATTATTAGTCTTTATTTAACTGGAGAGAGATACAGAGAAAGAGAAAGGAAAAATGAGAAAGCAAGCCACCAGGTCCAAGACTTGAACCACAGTCGGCCATATAGGAGTCTAGTGCCTTAACCACCACACTACCTGCAGGTGCCTAAAAAATCCCCAACAATTTATATATACCAAAGCATGTCCAAAATTGTCATTGACACTTAGAAAACACTTTATATGGAAATCTTATAAAAATCCAGTATTTAATATATTTTAAAATATAATTTTTATATTTTAATTTTATATTTTAATATATAATTTTAAAATCATATTGTTATAAATTTTCTTAAAATAATATTAAAAAATACATGAAAAAATCAAAATTTAGGGGCCAGAAGGTGGAGTGGTGGATAAAGTGCTGGACTCCCACATAGTCAACCACAGTTAGAGTCCATGACTTGGAGGCTTGCTTTCTCACTTTCCTGTTCTCTCTCATTCCTGCAGGTGCCTAAAAAATCCCCAACAATTTATATATACCAAAGCATGTCCAAAATTGTCATTGACACTTAGAAAACACTTTATATGGAAATCTTATAAAAATCCAGTATTTAATATATTTTAAAATATAATTTTTATATTTTAATTTTATATTTTAATATATAATTTTAAAATCATATTGTTATAAATTTTCTTAAAATAATATTAAAAAATACATGAAAAAATCAAAATTTAGGGGCCAGAAGGTGGAGTGGTGGATAAAGTGCTGGACTCCCACATAGTCAACCACAGTTAGAGTCCATGACTTGGAGGCTTGCTTTCTCACTTTCCTGTTCTCTCTCATTCTCTCTTTCTCTGGTCAAGTTAAAAAACAATACAAATTGGGACCAGCAGTTGGCATAATGGCTGTTTCGCTGGACTCCCATGTAGTTGACCGTGATTCAAGTCCCAGACCCAGTGACTTAAACTCACGCTGTGCGCAAGTGTGTGTGTACCCAAGATCCCAAGAAGAGAATGGAGAAGGGATTGTGGTGTGGCCATCCTCCCTGGGGGGGGGGGGGGGGGGTTTTTCT